CAGTAGTTGACTACTTTGAACTGTACATCTATGTGGCTGGAGCGCTGGCCATTGTGGTTCTGACCATTGAGGTATGAAGGGTTTTCATTTGAGTTAAATCATCACATATGCAGCATTTTCTTTGCCTCTTCAGTTGTGTTAACATTCATTTAAGCTGAGGAATATCTGCCTGAATATGTGTGGTGTTATATGAAAGCTCCTTGTACACCAAGATCTCCATCTAGTGTTGATCCTTGGTATTACATGAACATAGATTTGACTGGACTGCTTTTTTACATTTTTTTTTACAATTGGCTACATGCATGCTTTTGTTCACACTGTTTTCTTTACCAACATACACTTAATTGCACATCCATAATGCACAAATGGAACCGAAGCACTTCATTCACATCTCAGGATCAACTCTTGTATCTTAAGACTGACAACATTTGTCTCCCAACCAGAAAATGTTGTCCCTCATAAGACCAGTTACAACCGATAGCATTTCAATATGTATCACTTTTGTCTTTCAAGTAATTTTTAGTAACTTGGTATATAGTTACTAGCTATAAATCCAGTCATGCAATACAAAACTCTCTTGCCCTTTTCCTCACCTGGCGCAAGTTGGCCAGGGATAAATTGAGGCATTCAGTATTGTCTGGTCCGATTAGTGGTTTATGGGTTTTTTTGTGCGTATGTGTTTTTTTTGTTACTGTAGATGTAGCGGAATGTCACAATTTGCAGTCAAATTAAAGTAATTGGTTTGTAAAATAGCATGTAAACATGTGCAAATTAAGTGTAACTACACAGTTTTGGTAGTGTTGTGGTAGGGTTTAATTGAGAAAACAATTCACGAAATAGGGAAGAATGTGGCCATTGAATGCATTTTGTGTCATAAGCAATGAAAGGTTATTCAGTTTAGTCTACAGTGGCGGCTGTTGTTGTGTTGAGAGTTTTGAAACATTGAACTCAGTATTGAGAAATACATGTAACCAATTTTAAAACTCTGTTATCCAGAGTGGGACTGCTGTTCTAGTTTCACATGTTGTCATTGTTTCCCTGTGTGCTAATCATTGCATTTTCCTCCTTTTCTCAGCTCTTTGCCATGGTCTTTGCAATGTGTCTCTTCAGGGGAATCCAGTAGAGCGGCTCCATCTGTGAACTTCTTTTTCAAAAAAGGGAATTAAGGAGAAAAGAACAAAAAGGACACTTGTAAATTTGTTGATCTCTTTTTCTATTGGCTAATTGGTAGAGAAAACAAACTCCTGTACTTCACAGCTGGACTTTTGAGGTACTGGGTGGCAAAAAAACACATACATATGCATTAACACATACACATAAACCACTGATAAAGTGGGAGATCAGAGACAAAACTGATGTAAAACGATTTGTGTGTAAAGTGGAAACAGTCATTTTTTTGGACCAGGTCTAGCACAGACTGGGAGTAAAGTGGACCAGGCATGAGGACCAGGTGAAGCCTGAGCAGAAGGCACTGCACTGACTTTTGGATGAAGAATATTTATATTAAGTAAAGTTGGCTTAACTGTTAAAAATGTTTTGATGTACACTTTGCTGTTAACCCTGTTCCCTTTCATACTGTATACTGTAACACACTCCCTCCCCTATATGCCTTTTTACAGCCATTCTTCTTTAATGCTGTTATATAAGCTTTGTGTGTGTGTGTGCGTGTGTGCGTGTGTGCATGTGTTTGTGTGCGTGCGTGCGTGCGTGCGTGCGTGTACATACTGGATGCTCTTTTTGAATGTGTATGAACTAGTTTGTGAGCATGTGAGCTCATGGCTCTTCATGACCCCCTCCCAAGCTTGAAAGCCAACCTCGGATTCTTTTTCTATTTGTATGGTGATGTTTATTGCAGTAGTGGTTGTAGGTGGTGAAATGTATGTGTATGCATTTGTATTAGATTCTGTCAATGACATAAATGGCATTCTAAATGACTGCCCTTGTGTTTTGTTTTTTTCTTTAATTCACCCTTAAATAATTTCAGATCATCTTTACAAATACGATGAACCCCATGTGTAGTGTTCTGCAAATAAAGCATCTGAGCATGATGGAAACACATGCAGTACATGAAGGTTTAATACATGAATAAATGTTTATCGTTACGTTTACCCGATTAACTACAAACTTTGTTTTTATTATTTACAATTACAGTCTGATAGGAGAAACAAACGTTATTGTAATTTTGTGACAAATTGCTTTACAATGTTTTTTGCATCAGGGCCCATGATAAAATCAATTAAACTGCAAAACCAAGGTATTTGTCAGAATAGATAGTTAGCCTATAAGTTTTCAGCTGCAGCCTTGTGCCATTGGTGATTGTTCTCTTTTAACAACAAATCGGTCATCTCTGCTACACCTTTTTGACAAGTACTAAAACATAAAAAATGGATGGATTCTCTCTCTCTCTCCCTCACTCCTTCACCCTCAACTGGTTGAGGCAGATGGCCGCCCACCCTGAGCCATGGTTCTGCTCTTAAAAGGAAGTTTTTCCTTGCCTCTGTCGCCTAGTGCTTGCTTTTGGTGGGAATTGTTGGGCTTCTGTAAATAACATCACAGAGTACGGTCTAGACCTGCTCTTTTATGAAAAGCACTCTGAGATAACTGTTGTTGTGATTTGGCACTATATAAATAAAATTTAATTGATGTTTCATGAGCCAAAGTAAAATACAATTTGATTATGATCCATATATGGCTGTTAGTTTTATTGTGATAATAAGCTGAATTTCACCTGCAGTGCATTAGTTTATTGATTTTTTTCCTGCAAGAAAGTATATAAGTGTGAACAACATACAGTAAGGATAAATTATGTATGGTAACTAAACCATGGCAGCAGGTGCAATAATTAAAAAATAGGATATAGCAAAGAAAAACTGAAAGTGAAGCAAATGAGGAGCATTAAAATTTAGCATATTTTGCTTCTCTGTTTAATCATTTTATCTCCTGAACATTTTATTGTTTTTCCTTTTTTTTTTTTATTGATACATGGAGTCTACCCTCATAACTCCTAGTATTGTACTGCCAAACCTGCCAACCTAAAACTGAACATGCTTGTGAGGATGTCCTCGGACATAATACGATTAAGTAAACATTTGCAAAGAGAAAAATATACCCAACATTTGTCTTAAGGATTGGCTTCAAAAAAGACACTTTCACTATGTCTATTAGATCCATCAATCTGTCAATCAATCTTATATGTCTCAAAGTAAGACATATAAGATATACTTCTCAGATTGTTGGTTGTACAAACCAGTCTAGTTCTTCAATATCTTAAATGTACACTAATCGTATAAGTTAAAAAAACATATTTGAAAAAGGTACAGCTTTGTTCACTTCAACAGGGAAAATTGTGCTTTCTGAGCCCCATCCACACTACTCCGTTTTTGCTACAACAACAGGAAAACACAATGGAGGGAAAGTAAATACACTGCTCAAAAAAATAAAGGGAACACTTAAACAACACAATGTAACTCCAAGTCAATCACACTCCTGTGAAATCAGACTGTCCACCAGACTGTCCACTGATTGACAATCAATTTCACATGTTTTTGTGCAAATGGAATAGACAACAGGTGGAAATTATAGGCAATTAGCAAGACACCCCCAATAAAGGAGTGGTTCTGCAGGTGGTGACCACAGACCACTTCTCAGTTCCTATGCTTCCTGGCTGATGTTTTGGTCACTTTTGAATGCTGGCGGTGCTTTCACTCTAGTGGTAGCATGAGACGGAGTCTACAACCCACACAAGTGGCTCAGGTAGTGCAGCTCATCCAGGATGGCACATCAATGCGAGCTGTGGCAAGAAGGTTTGCTGTGTCTGTCAGCATAGTGACCAGAGCATGGAGGCGCTACCACGAGACAGGCCAGTACATCAGGAGACGTGGAGGAGGCCGTAGGAGGGCAACAACCCAGCAGCAGGACCGCTACCTCCGCCTTTGTGCAAGGAGGAGTAGGAGGAGCACTGCCAGAGCCCTGCAAAATGACCTCCAGCAGGCCACAAATGTGCATGTGTCTGCTCAAACGGTCAGAAACAGACTCCATGAGGGTGGTATGAGGGCCCGACGTCCACAGGTGGGGGTTGTGCTTACAGCCCAACACCGTACAGGACGTTTGGCATTTGCCAGAGAACACCAAGATTGGCAAATTCGCCACTGGCGCCCTGTGCTCTTCACAGATGAAAGCAGGTTCACACTGAGCACATGTGACAGACGTGACAGAGTCTGGAGACGCCGTGGAGAACGTTCTGCTGCCTGCAACATCCTCCAGCATGACCGGTTTGGCGGTCGGTCAGTAATGGTGTTAGGTGGCATTTCTTTGGGGGGCCGCACAGCCCTCCATGTGCTCGCCAGAGATAGCCTGACTGCCATTAGGTACCGAGATGAGATCCTCAGACCCCTTGTGAGACCATATGCTGGTGCGGTTGGCCCTGGGTTCCTCCTAATGCAAGACAATGCTAGACCTTATGTGGCTGGAGTGTGTCAGCAGTTCCTGCAAGAGGAAGGCATTGATGCTATGGACTGGCCCACCCATTCCCCAGACCTGAATCCAATTGAGCACATCTGGGACATCATGTCTCGCTCCATCCACCAACGCTACGTTGCACCACAGACTGTCCAGGAGTTGGCGGATGCTTTAGTCCAGGTTTTGGAGGAGGTCCCTCAGGAGACCATCCGCTCATCAGGAGCATGCCCAGGCGTTGTAGGGAGGTCATACAGGCACGTGGAGGCCACACACACTACTGAGCCTCATTTTGACTTGTTTTAAGGACATTACATCAAAGTTGGATTGGCTTGTAGTGTGGTTTTCCACTTTGATTTTGAGAGTGACTCCAAATCCAGACCTCCATCAAATTTGATTTCCATTGATAATTTTTGCGTGATTTTGTTGTCAGCACATTCAACTATGTAAAGAAAGGAGTATTTAATGAGATTATTTCATTCATTTATTTCATTCATTCAGATCGAGGATGTGTTATTTTAGTGTTCCCTTTATTTGTTTGAGCAGTATATATCAAAGAACTCTTTTGTTTACTTACTTAGACCCACTTGTCATCAGGTGACATTGATGGTCAGATGCCAGCAATTCCATATTTGATTTTTGGCCACTAGGGGGCAGAAAAACATCAATACTTGATGATGGATAGGCCTACTTTGCCGCACGTAGCTGTTACCGCCGACCTTTATGTTTAGGCTAAGGTGTTATCGAACAATGTTTCTGGCCACCTGAATGTAAGTTCAATGTTCATCAACTCTGTTTTGGTTTATCTTGGTCGTTAACTGTTGTTCTTCAAAGACCTCAACTCTCCCATTAACTTACGTCGTTATAATCTTTTTATATACAGTCTATGGTTATAATGTAACGAAAGGACAGGTGAGGTCACAACAAGGCTAGCTGGTCAACAGCTAGCAAACTATTTGGTTGCTTAGTCACAGTAGGTTGATTAACTGAGCCGCTCATGCTCATCAATACAGTTTTTATGCCTGTCATTGACAAAAAAATGTTAAAAGAGGCTACAATTCTGCGTCTCTGTCTGAGTAGTTAGGACACGAACATACTTGTTAGGAAACCTCTCTTACCAATTACACTGTCATGATTTCATATTTAAAAAACAATAATACATACCGTTAAGGTTTAATACATACCGTTAGCCTAACCAGTGCTGGCTACTTGTTTACCTTGACTGAAAGGTATAGCCTCCATGACAAACCAATGCGTGTATTTGGGTCTGTAATTAGCAAATCTTTTCCTTAACCTTACCAAAACCACGGTCTTTTCCTGAACCTAACCAAGTAGTTTTTAAGCACTAAAAAGGCTTTTCATATGGACGCTGAAGGGTAGCTTCAGGCTAGTTTTGTCGGGCCTTCTTCAAAGCGGTGTAATTTAAGGCCCTGGGATGAAAACATGTTGGGTACACATATGTCTAAATATGTCCATGAACTAATATGATCCTTATCAGATATGTCAGTGAGCTTGTCTTGTGGAGCAGATAAAATGACAGAATTTAGTGCTAAAAGGATTACTTGAGTAATCAATTAGTCAATTCCATCCCAGGAAGTTTGAAACCTCATCAATAGTAGGCCAAGTAATTTATTAATCTCTGTGAGGATTACTGTCACTTTATCTTGTAATTTTATATATTTTAAATATCTTTCAGACCTTTTGGTTGGACAAAATACAATAAGGAGATGTAATAATAAGATGTAATAATAGCAATGATGAAAACAATCATTGTCTTACTGAATGCCTGATGTTTGAACTGTGAAAGGTGTATGAAGTCTTTGAACAGGGGTCTATAATATCAGCTTCTGTAATCTACCACATCACTCCCACTGGCCTATGCTGAGGCCATTAAGGCATCTATTGTTTGGCAAAGAGCACAGTCATCAGGCAAAAGAACCAGTTGAAGACGGATGGAGAACCTGTGTTAGCTGACTGTTACATGCTCTCTGTACTCAGCAAGGTTTACTGCTCTGCCTCCCCAGCTTTCCTCTCACTTTAGAAACACAGGCCTACAGTTTTGGGTGTGTAAAGTGGCTGGAATGTAACAGTGAAATAGCGAATGTGCACAATTAAGGCATTAAGAACCGGCACGCTGAGCGGGGGGGGGTGGACATATCTGGACTATAAGGTTCCCCAGTCAAGCAAAACAGGTGTTACTCATTCACACTTTTCTGGTAGCCCTCCGTAATTTGTCCTGGCAGCTTTTAGGCAGATATTTTTTGCCATCGTTCTCCACGCCTCCCTCTCACTGTTCTGTTGGAGCTTGTTTGTACTCATCTCTGTTCTTTCCATGTTGAATTTTATTCACTTCCCTCTGGTGTTGGTTTCTCAAAGGCACACATTGAGTCTGGCTTAGATCTAAGAAATAGTAAGTCTTCACATGGACATCTAATTCTTGGCGATCTCAAATATGACTTGGTTGCAGTGCATTCTGGGAAAATTAGGACTAATTTAAAAAATCTCAGCATCAACCTGGTGAGCACTGTTGATGAGTGAAGAAAAGGGCAGAACAAAAAGGTTTAAGGGCTCAATTGGGTTTGTAATAATTCTTTCTTTTTTCCTAAATAACCTAAATGTGTTTAAACGTGGTTGACCCAGACTGTAGCTTCTGGCAGACAAATATATAAATTAAAATATGATGGACATCTCTTTCTCTTGCAACAAACCCAATAAAGTGATATGACTTGCATTCAAGAACAGACTTAAGTAACTTATTTTTCTAGTAGGGACAGTATATGGGTGTGACTGTGTAAACACAGTGAATATTACTGCAGAGATGTCCAGTGTTTATATGCTTTTGTATGATATGGCAGTGCATAAGTTTAAATTAAATTCCAAAAGTACACAACAGTGTGTACTTTCTAAGTAGAGTTCTCAATAGTGTGTCCTTTTACACATTGAATTTCTCTGGGATCTTATTTAAATGTTTTAATCTATTTTAAATAAATGGACACATGAAGATAAAACTAACTCAAGCCTTCCAAACAGCCTACCCAGCAGAACATATGATTACAATTTTCAGGCATACAGGCATATTAAGAAACACGCTTTTAGACTTTGGAAATCTATAATACTTAATAATGAGCTCAAGGTAAACCGAACTAAGGCCAGCTGACTTCTTTTTAGTTTCCTGCTTCATTAACATATACTGGAGCTCATTACCGTCGCCTCAAATAAAAAGACACATTTCAGCTCTGTTTCTTGTGCCATATACGCCGAGGGCAATCAAGAATGGTCACAAAACAGTAACCAGTGGTGTTACATGAATCGTAACCAAACTGAATCATACATTCCAAAATCTGTACAGCATCACACACAAAAATACAGATTCTTATGAACTATTCAAAAACCAACACTTACTTTTACTAGTCTCTTCTTTCTGGCTCTTATTTATTAGCTTGTACTTTAAAATTAGATCTAATTAGCTATCTGATCATCCGATGATAAAAGAAAACACCCCTGACATACTTACTTTTTACAACTTGTTGCTTGAAATGTTAAGCTTATCGCACAGCGTTCCTCCACCTGATAAATTCAGCCCAGTTTGCATCTTTGTGTTCAGTAGCCAACGCTGAAGGTAAGAAAGAGCCAACAGTCCTATAATTCACCACCTGAGGGCGGTAGCATCATGCTACTCCTCCATCCAATGCTTGCGAATGTATATTTGCTTCTAAGCATCAGCAAGAAGGAACCCTTTGTACAGAAACTGTGATGTAAACATGAGGATTTCAGCATATTTATTTATAATTATTTTATATGAAGGCCATTTTTTTACATAGTTACATGTGTTGTTTAAGACTGTCAAGTACATTCAGCTCCTTTTTATGTGAAATGATTGAATACAACATCACCATCTTTATGCATATGTTGCATGGTTCCCTTTTACTGACTCTGCAGACATTAACTCCAATGCACCAACTCTCAAGAGGGCTGAGATTTTTATCCTACAAAGTCAAAGTGTTGACTGAAGCAAATTTGACATGACTATAAGGCCCAGACTCTAAAATTAAAACAGTGTGTCTTGGGTATTTTAGGCACATTTTGTTTGACCTGTTGATCAGAAAGTAAGCACCAGTAGCAGTTGGTGTGTCAGAGCGCCGGCCCCCCCTTTTCCTCCCATTTGAAGTGTCTGCATTGGTTCAGGTTAGGATCTCACAGAGTATTTAACAGCTGCTAAGTGTTACTGGTGGTCAGCAGGAGCAGCTCCTGGTCCTGGTGGTTCACTCGCTCCAGCACGCTCCGATCACATCACATATAAGTGGTATTAACACAAGCCTGAGGTGTGCAACCCTACTGGTGGAATCATACCAGATATCATATGTTGTGTAATACTGCTCCCACTGCCTCTGCCTCTGGGATGATAAGGCTTGAATCAAAGTTAGACCCATGAAATCAAACTGAAAGCAGCATAATTTCAAAATCTGGCAAAACCTGATTGAAATACAGTGTGTCGACATACTGAGAGGATTTTTTTCTGTTTGTTATATCATACACATTAAAAGCTTATTTCATTTTTACCAAAATAAAGGATTTATTTTGCTTTGAATTTGTTGATATGTACTGACAGTTTGTGGTAAAACGTCTCTCAGAGTTTTATGCTTATGTCAGCATTTTCCATCTTAATTGTGGCCACCAGAACATCCTTGCAAAAGATTTTGGATCCTCTCTAGTAACAAATCTTAACAGAAGATCAGACAATGAATAACATGCATTCAAGAAGTTTGTTCTCATTATGTTACCAGTTACAGCAGTAGGATTTGTAGTCTTCCCATTGCTGTTAGAGGAACTTGCGTAAAAGCCCTGAAAATAATGTTTGATTTTTTTTGTAGTTTTGGGTCACTGCTAAGGATTGATGTTGTAGTATTTACCTCTTTGCTCTAGTGTAGTGTTGCCCTATTACATCTCTTCTTTCCTCATAAAAATTCCTACCAGGAAAAAGGGAGAAGAGAGCGAGGGATGGGGGAGAGGTGGGTCTGAGGGGCTCCTTGTTCAGTTTGTTTTAGCCCCCTGTTTGGAGAGGAAACTTTCATTGCTTGATGATTTATGAGTGGTTAGACTCACAGGGGAATTAGAGAGTCCCTTTTTTTGCATGTAATAACCCACCCTCTAACATAAAACTTACGTTTCTCCTTTGTGTTGTGTTTATCCAGTGTGAAAGGTGTTAGGTCCGGTGGGGAGTTGAAGGGCCCGGAGAACCCCCTCAGGACCGTTAAACAGAAACCATATCAGGGGCAGACAATTCACATCTGCTGCAATGTAACCGCAAAACCCATTGTGAAAATGTGAGAATCTAACACTCAACAACACAGTTTGATACATGGAGTAAAACAAATAATGCTGCAGCCCGCTGTAACAGCCTTGCTGTATAAAACAACTGAATTGTCCCACAGCTACTGAGTCCCACAGAACCACTGGCCTCGAACTCGACCGGGCAGCCTTTGTGACGCGCAGTGTGATGCCCATGACCCAGCATGAAACAGGAAGTGAGCTGGAAAGGCCAGGAAATTAGTCTGTGGGGATGGGTCGTTTCTCAGGCCGAGCATCACCGCTGTCTTGAGCGATCTTTTGTGCTCTGTGACTCACTTGTGGAGCATGTGTTTTCAGTCCACAGGGCTTGGATTTAGATGAACTACAAATAGATGGCCCAAACTATCCCATGTGAGAAGACCACAAAGTGCTCTATCGTTACAAAGGAGAAGAGTAATGTTTAGCAGCCAGCCATCAGACGAATGATAGTGACTATATGAGGCCCCTTAATTTTTCCTCATTTCTCATCTTTGTTTTTTTCACTTTCCCTGGTTCCCCTACGTTTCTGTGTTACCCGCTTCCCTCACAGCTGGAGGCTAATGCAGTGCTTAGCTCCTCATTGCACACCAGATTTTCTCACCCTGTGGCCTTCGCAGTCGAGCCGTCATCTCTGCCTGTCAATCAGGTCCAGAGCGACCCGGTGCACATGAGTCCGCGAGAGGTCAGCTGTTGTGTATGTCTGACCTTTGAGCTCTACAGCAGGAGGGCTTCTTGTGCAAATGCAGTGAACAAGGCTGGACTTGAGCGCACAATAAATCAGTAGGATGCTTCACCGCCCCCATATTCACAAGATTGATAATTGGAAGCATATTGCAGAGAGGAGAGACAAAATGCTGCTCTAGAACTAAGAGGTTGAGGGGGTTAGAAACACAGCCCGATAACAAACTTGAAGAGTCTTTGGAGGAAATCAGTGGACAGGCTGCCGATCTCAGTGTGTTGACTCTCAGATTTTAAAGGGCTGTGCACAGGCACAGGAAGAAACTGGAGGAATCAACAGAATGAGTCATTTCATTGCTACAGCACGCCGGCTGACAGTTGAAGCATGTTGTATCAGTCATATTATTAATGGTCTACCATATGCTGCTTGCAAATACAAATACATGCTTTTATAAACTTAGCTAATATAGTCTTATAGGTAACGCTTCTGCAAATATGCACTTTTATATTTGCCAGTTACTTTAACCGCGCTGCTGCCCTACAACAATACACGAGTGCTGATTTAACCCACTAGCCCAGTGGTTATGTCCACACCGTTCATCTCTTTTAGCCTGCCCAAAACCTTCACCCATGTGTCAGTACCACTTTAAATCCTTTCCCTCTCTGTTTATGTTAGCATGTCAGAAAGCCACATTAGACATTTCCACACTCTAATAAACTGGAGTTTTATTAGTGGGAGTTAGTGAATGATGTGAGCCATCGCGAGGCTGTCTCCATGGTTACAGACCACAGAGATGCCTGTCAGGCAGCTGGCAGGCCATCGGCTGTTTGGTGGCCACTGTCAGCTGATGGGGGAAATGGAGGAGAGGAAATTAACAAAGCAAGCTAATACCTTTTCAGACATGGGAAGATGCTCTCTGTAATGACTCACTTAGGGCCCTCTATGAGTTTTGATTCTAGCCTTGTACAGTGCCCTCTAGTTGTAACAGTTTGTTGTTTGGTTGTATTTTACACAGTGGGTTCCCAACCTCTATTTGCACCGCAGTTGACAGTTTTGTCAAGTATACCTTAATGCAGTATCACCCAAGCCACCTGAATCTTAAGTGAATAAGAACTAGTCACCATACTTTAATAAAAGTCCCACACTGTTTCTTACTTGCAAATAAGTCATATAATAAGAACACGCACACGTTGTGATCTGTATGACCACTGTATTTGCAAATTTACAGCACTGCACATGTGCTCCACAGTATGAGCATCAACACAGATGAAACTGATTTCGTTGGTAGAGTTGAGTTGTAGATACGTTCATAGAAAAGGCTGGCCCAGAGCCAGAGACCCCATTAGAAGGAGCTTAGGGAAGTAAAGTATCCATGCTCCCCTTTCAGTAAAAATCTACTCGGATCTTACCTCCGAGCCAAGTCCTCCTCCTACACTTGCCTCCTATTGCAGACAAAATGACCTGTCAGATCCTCTGATGCACAGATGTGGTGACATCCATATACACATTTTGGTATCGGTTTATTTCATTCTGAGTTGCGTCCTAAAATGTGCATACAATGTCCCAGCGAGTATTACTTCGAAACAGATGTCACTACTTTTAGATCACTAGTATGTTCAGGCTGTTAAGGATTCGTTTCTTATGTGTGTCAAAATCTAAGCTTAATGTGAGCTGTTTACTGGCGTTCTTGGCTTGTAATGAGGGACGTTTTACTGGACAGAGTGATGTATGTTGTGTTCCTTCCTCTTCAGCCGCCTGCTCCTCTCCCCAAAGCCATACTGAGAGGCTTTGGTGCTGACTTATGGCCACAGCAGGAGACTGCTCTGCCTTTTATGTCCCTTAGGACAGCATCAATATATCAAGCCTCTGCTGGTTCTTTTGATTTACGACAACATGTCACTTAAAGTTACTTGAGCAAGGTAGACTTTGGTTTCATGGTAGCAAACATGGCCAGTGTGAATTTACATGTCTGAGTTAGAGGGGATTTTTTTACTGGTCAGTGTGCTTGTCATTTTCCTTTGGCTCCAGTCCTCTACAGTTCATAGGAGTCCCATCATCGGTCCAAAATTGAGTGGAGAATTTTGATTTACAGTGCAAGCAGCAGCTTTTTCAAACCAAAAAGGGATCATTTAACAGTGTAAGAAAAAAGTTTCAACTCTAAAATATGACCTGTAAGAATCTTTTTGCTGAAAGCTGATATAAGTGCTGATTTACGGCATTGGCCTTGCTAACGATGGCCCTTAATGAGCAGCTCAAGCATCCACTTGTTTATGGAGCAGGCTGATTGACAGGCCAACCAATGGAAAAATTAAGTAGTGAATGAGGAATTGGATCTGTCCCCTCTTTACCATATCAGGAGGGCCCTAATATAGTGGGGTGAACTTTGAAGTGCCCTAATGGTCTTCATGGTCCCTTAACCATGCAGGCTTCTATTAAGGGTGTCAGTGGAGCCTGGCTGGAGCAGCGTGACCCATTAGGTTTAATGAGTGCTGTTCAGGGCACAGTGGGCTGCTCTTCTTCCTCTCTGCGAGTGTTTGTTTATGTCATCTACCCATGTTTAAGACAGAAGGGGAGTATAGCGGCAGTGGGAAAACTTCTTTAACTGGTGGCCCATTTTGCCATTTGGGTCTCTGATTTTGATGGTAAGATGGTCTCACTGGGGTCATGACAGGTGCCTTAAACTTTCGTAAGTGTATATATATTGCTTCTTACTGATAATTTATCATTGGATAATAAAGGATAAGTCTGGTGATATTCTATATTTTACCACTGTCCACACTAGCTAAAACCTGATATGGCTTATTGCTCTGTGCCATAGACCTGTATTGTTGTCCAAAAGATATTAAAAACATGCCTTCATTATGACGAACATGGGTAGTATAATTTATTTTAAGTCAAACCAACATAGTGTACACCATCCTGCTGCTGTAAACACTGACTTGCGCCCTAAATCCAGAGCTAAACATAGTCCCAACAAATTTTTACTCCTGTTAGAGTAAATAATTTACTCTTTTTAAAAATGAAAGTATACATTTGTGAGTGTCTTTAAATACTGACATCTTAAGTAGGAACCAACGGGCTTGGGGTTGGGAGCTGCAGGCAGGGCTGGGAAAGTTCTCAAAGAATTTTTGCATTGTTGACAATAAGACACATAGAATATGCATTGTGCATTGTAAGAGCCAGGTAAACTTTTTACAGTTATTTTAAAGAGTTCTATGTAAGTTATGTTAATTGTTATTACCTTTATTATTAACATCATGAGGCACATAGAAGAGGATAGGAGAAGTATTTTGTTTGACATGTACAAGCAGGTCCTCGTCTCCCCTTCCATTTTAATCTTCCATTGTTGATCTTCAGTTCCTCGAGTAAAGCCGGAGCCTTTTGTGGGTGACAGCAGGCTTCTCTGGAGTTTTCCTGTTCTCGTGCGATCAGAATGCTCCAGTTAAACTCTTGCACAACTGTGGAAAAGACAGCAATTGTTGCTGGGAGCAAGCAGAAATGGGAGAGCTCCAACATTCTTTGTAGGGAAAAGACCACAGCAATGGCAAGATGTGAATTGGCACAGGTTATCTTTTTTTTTTTTCCTGGCCATGCCTTCCCTTTCTCTTACGTGAGAGTTATCCTAAGTAGTTGTGCATTCTGTGGATGATCTTCAGCACAAAGTTTCAAATAAAGGGTGGATTGATTGCAGACATAGTTTTTGTTGTGTAGGAAAGATGTTTTGAAGTGATTATAAATGTTTTTCTGAGGGCTGTTTTGTTGCATGATTGAGCCCGTATTGCTAAAACAAAGAACATCTGTGTGAAACGATGTTGCATACTGTATTGCATGACAGCTTTCTCTCGCCCCGGCCATAGCAATACTGTTAGCCAAAGACCACCTGGAGGCATTTAAGGCCCATTCAAACTATTAGGCTTAACTTTGGGCCTAATGGCTTCGGCAGAGCATCCCATCTGGAAGCTGCTGATGCGAGAAAAAGAGTGGGATCACATATCATCCACCTTCAACCACACACACACATACACACACACACACACACAGACACACTGTCATGTTTTAATCACTTCAGAGGACTTTATATTGACTTACCCTAGCCCTAACCACTACTTGCCTAACCCTAACTCTTACCCTAACATTTAAACCACACTTTACTTTGTGTGATTGTTCTAAACAAATTTATGTCCCTACAACATTAGTAATATACACATACACACAAAGGTAACAAAATTCATCTACCAGCACCTTTAAAGTTCACTAATAAACATATTATTTACATAATTAACAAATGATTGTTGTTTATTTAATATGTATGATAACCGAACTATAAAAATGCCACGTTGTTGTGAGTTTCAAAAATAGTTGAACTATTTCCTTTATGGTTTTATCACTCAAAAACTCCTTATGGTGCTCTAAAAAAGCTACTACTTGTTGTTACTGTAACAATCCCAGAATGCAATGTTTTGCATGTGATGAAAATCACAGTTGTGTGACACTCAATCAGTTGTGTTGTCATTTGCATCACCAACTAGATGATTCAAAATGACAATGATTCTCAAGTGTCTGAAATATAAATGTACAGTAACATATTGAATGTCTGTTACATAGGGAGTATAATATGAGACTGTGTGGGTGAAGTTTGGCCAGACTTGATTGACAGCGGCAAGACAACAAAAGCAAACAACCCAAGAAATGTCATTAGATTTTGAATTAGATGTTGCTAAATCCTGATTCGTGTGATATGACCTTTTTTCACCTGCACCCTGCCCACTTCATACTAGTGAGAAGAGCACAAACATAAACACGAATAGAGAAATTTCTCACATGAAATAACCAAAACTGATCCAACTTCCAACCTAACAGTAGGTTTTCTGGGCCTGTAAAAAGAAACTGTCTGAACTTGTTCAACCTTTGGAGATTAATTTATTTCAAAATCACTTCAAAACATCATCAACAGAAACCGCGAGTTACCTTCTGTACAAACAAATGTTCAGCACCTTCAACAGATCTACGTCATACTGTTCATGGTGCTAAATGAGGACGGGTGTAGGAGACGGGTGTAGGGCTGTTTTGACACAAAACCACACACCTCTTGCTTTAAAGACACCACGGTCCCAGTGGAAGTAAAAAAAACAAAAAAAACATTCTCCAACACTGTAAGTGCAATAACTTATTGCAATGGAACATTATATAATGTCACAATCAGAAATAGAAATACTTGATTAACATACAAAAAGCTGCTTAAAGCTATAAGAAAATTAAAAAGCACTTTCAGCCTGTGTAAAAGTCCAGAGCAACTCTTCAGAATAATACACACACATAACATAATTTTACATTTCTCGGCATTACTGTAATACTTCATTGGTTTATCTCTGGAGGTCCATTATTTGACAAATAAGCAGAAAGAATTGTACAAGCAAAAGAACAATATCATTTATATTGTTCACATTCACATAATACGACATTATAACTATGGATTTCAATTGCATTATTTCAGTAGTATCAACATGGACGGAGCTGCAGAGGAGTGGAGCACTGAGACCAGCGTAAAGACAAACACACAGTCAACTCAACAAAGTAGGATTTCAGTCTCAGATGTAGTCATGCATAAATTAGTTTTGACCAGATTCTGATTTGATGATAATGTTTCTGATTTTTAGTCCACACAACCTACAAAGTCTATATTAATTCACAATGTTTATCCTTTATTGAATGGCGTCATAGAAAGGGCTTGATTAGAAGGCAACAACAATCTTTTTTGTCACTTTTTTGTCACAATTGGATATTATTAGGAATTCTAAAATGTCTTTTCCTTCATATGGAAAAAAGAAAAGCTTTGTAATTCTTTGTACAATTTAAGTGGAAATTTTAAAGGTACTAAACCCTCAAGTGGAGCTGCAACAATGGGTCGATATAAAAAATTTCATTTCAATTTCATTTTTTCATTTTTCAAGCAAAAACACTGTCTGGTTCCAGCCTTTCACTTTGCTGCTTTTTATTATCTTATGTGATAGTAAACTGAATATTTGGGGGTTTTAGACAACAAAACGAGACATTTGAAGATGTCATGTTTGGTTTTAGGAGATTGTGATCGTGAGAAATTGTGATTTTTCTGGCATGTTATACACCAAACAATTTATCGTCCAATCGGGAATATAATCTGCAGATTAACCATAATACTAAGACTGAAAATAGCCATCAGTTGCAGTCCTGCCTTTAAACAAGAGGGCTGTAATGGGCATTCAGAAGATAAAATGATCAACCAGCTATGAGGAGCAGAAACAGACTCTCTTGCCATCTCCCTCACAGGGGAAAGAAGCGGGCTTCATAGAGAGATCAGCCAAAAGACTAATGAAGCCTGTCTCTAGCCTCAGCCTGCAGCCCAGCTCTGGTGACAAACTTAATCCAGCGGGGTAACACACAGAGACACCCCTGCAATCACTGGACATACTCTCCATATTCCTGCAGCCTAGCTCTAATGTCATCACATTACCTAAACGTTATAGAATGGTCCTCAGGCCGATGGGGGCCACTGATTTGGATTTGTTTCTGGCATGTGACGGATTCTGTGAGCAAGCTTCAAATCCGAGAGTCATCACTGCTGAGCCCACGTCTGATGGTGAATTGATTATTACAGCGTGTGGAACTGTGTGAGCAGTATGTCCTCACTATGTACGCTGTGATGTACTATGGTGTTCGCAGGGCAGGCCGGCTCACTTTGATGCTAATTAGGTGTGTCTATTCCTTTTGGTTGCTAATTGAAGCTGGCGTGGCTAGTTGGTGTTGAAGGCTGCTGCTGTGCGTTTCTGCGCCTTGTCTGGCAGTGGAGACAGTGTTTCCTGTAACCTGAGCCTGAGCCTAGCAGGGGAGCCTGTGGAGGCAGCCCTGGGGGAGGAAATGACACGTTGGTTTGAAATTGCTGCGAATCCAATGCCTGCCTTCCTCCCACACTAAATTGGCACAGGTCGTGTCTGCTCTGGCTCAATTAGACTCTGTTCGCTTATTGCATTCAACCCCTCTCCTTCTTTGCAGGGACATAAACTTCCAACCGTGGGCTAGGACAAAATTAATGTTTTCTCTCATGACCAATTATTGTTTGCTTTAAAGGAAAGTTTTCAATGACAAGTGACAGAAAATAAACTCTCACCTCGTAGTATGCATCTGTGCTCATTCTCCTCCAGTGGCCTTGTTTTTTTAAAATGGCTTTTAAACTACAAATACTGATCGTTCAGATATGTACTCAATCTCATGTATACAGTGTGAGAGACAAGTCTAAAGTAACACAAACAAAATGAGTGGGCAGGATAGGTGGTATAAAAAATAAGCTAAAGAAAGTATTAATATTAATTCTGTAAATTAAAATATGGTATGATATGGCTGGATTTGGCACTGAATTCCTGTATTGAAAGTATTTTGTAAACCACATTTATTATATTGCTTATTTTACTGACTCATGAATGAAACACAGTTAATTGGGGGCTAAACCCCATATTTCAATGACACCTGAGAGATCAAGGAATCAAGAATGAACAAAACGTCATTACGTCGTTACATCTTTTTCTAAGTCACACCTCTGTTTTTCTCTCACTTTCAGCATCTGCTGATTGTCACAGTCACTGTTGTTATCTTGGTTGCGTTGGCCGCTGTAATGGCCTCTGTTATCGCCACAGTCTCTCCCTGTTCATTTGACCTGCATTATCATTAGTGCTCTCAGAAAAACTCACTCCTCCCCCACTGCCCTGTTGCGCTGTTGGCTGCTCCAGAGAAGAGGGCCATATGGGGATAGGGTGGAAGTGGGCTGTGACATCATGTAGCCCAAGAGATGGCTGCACTGTGTTCCTTGGCCTTCATACGCAGCGCTGCAATGCTGGAGGACTTGCGGTCTGGATCAACATTGAGATCATAGCCATTGATTCCCCCGCCCATCCCAGGACCCCCAAAAAGGCTGCCCATATGTGTCTGTCCCATGTGGCTGCTCCCTGGACTGGGCACACCCAGGAAGTCAGTAACACCTCCAGGACCATGAGGGTGAGGCGGCATGCAGGGGGGGACGGTGTCACAAGGCACAACGCAACCCGGAACTGGAGATGCTCCACTGCTACTCCCAATCCACGAAGGGTTCTGGATCTGGAGGAGAAGAGCAGGGATTAAGTGGCTATAGTCACAATTGTTATAATATCAATGTGTCAAATGACAATGGAAAACAATGTGACAATGAGAAAGAGGTCATAGTGATGAGGCTACAGTGAGTTTTTACCAATCTGCAGCTCCCTGCACCTTTACAGAGCTTTATGGTGAGTTTCAGCTCATTGTTTTGCTGTCTGGCACACAACTGTTATGGTTCACTCCCACCGCCCTCATAGCGTCATTTTTGGCCACAGCAGGCAGCTGTTTTCAGTGAGAAATCTCTAATAACGCACTACCTGCTCCGGCCCAAACGACAGACACAGTTAACAACAGATGGTGAACACAGTTAGCAGCTAAAGAGACAGAAAATTCCTTCAGAAGTTGGTAAAGCCCAAAAGCAGAGCTAAAACACAGAGTGAATATTAAATATTATTAAATATTATACAATATAATATGCAATTCATCAGGTCACCAGAAACACAACTTCAGATGAAATTAAAATCTTCTGAATGTTGAAGTAAGCCACTGTTTGCTAACAAATTCGCCATATTAACTTAAAAGCTAATAATATGTCAGTGGTGTGTTCACAACTTGTTCCCGCAAATGAATCAATAATTGCAGGTTTAATAATATATAATAACCTTATTGATTACTTGATCAGTTCCACCTTTCATAACCATTTATGATTCTGATATTTCAGGTGAACTTGTGCATAGTAATATTCAGTGTCACTTGTTTGCCTTTACCTGTGCATAGTTCTCTGGCCGAGTCAGTAGAGGCAGCTCATAAGCTGTAGAGAAGTGTGTCCGGACCTGTTGCATCTGGCCAAAACGCTCCCTCTTCCTCCACTTGGCTCTACGATTCTGGAACCACACCTGCAAAGAAAACAATCCATCAAGAAAACACCTCAAAATTACAGACCAGCCACTACCAAACAAAACTTGAATATCATTTCATATACAGCCCTCATATCACATGCAATTCCAAGCACTTTTGTACAGAAAACGAGGCCATCTTCTTTGCTCAGCAAGATAAAGTAAGAAACTGAACTGCATTAAATGAAGACAGTGAAGCAAATAAATTCTGCAGCACATGAAAGTCCAGGCCCAGGTTTTAAGACTTGACGTGTCTTTAAAGTGCCGTCCACACGGAGCTATTGATGGCGAGAATCCCCTGGTGCTGCACATTTCAGCTCCTCCCTTTGATACACAGGCGTCTGCCTCCCTTCAGGCTGCCAGCGTCGACAGATCCACATCTGGGCCTGTAGCCATTCATAAATCACTCTGAGAAAGGTGTGCTCTCCCCCACATGTCAGCACAGTGGGATACAGCCGGGGATCCCTCTGTAGAATCCATGAAACCAAAGTTCAACTTTTGACCAAGAATATGCTTTTCTTTGACCGTCTTTGGGTTTATTAAGTATTGTATGAAGTAGGTTCTTCTGTGAATTTCTCCTTGTGAGATTGATAGACATGCTACTTTACAGACTTTCAGTACCTGCTGACAGACCAAGTGCAGGCTACTTAGCCCACTTTTCCCTAGCTGTGGAAGCCATTAGAGCTAAACAGATTTATGATATATGATTTAATATATCCAAATAACACAAATTAAGACATTACAGATACTTAATAAAATTATTATAATAATGTATACCTTTTTTATCCTAATTACTTTAATTTCATAAAATGTAAGCCAGTGGTAGCCACCTCATTTATGTCTCTATATTTCATACCTGTTCTAACCATGCATCGCTGCTGTTCTTTTAATATATCATATCAGTTGTAACTTTTGCTAACCTTTTTTTTTCTACAAAACTTTCTCACATATCCATGCACGAGAATAGAGGAGCAAAGGGGGGTACTGGGAGCAAAGGGGGGGTACTGGGAGTCTCCACATGTTTATCTGTATCTATTTGTTGGTTGTCTGAATTTTATCCTCCCAAGAGGGAAAGGGAAACTTCTTCAAAGAGAAAAGAGAGAGCGATCCTGCTTCGACACAGGGGTTTGAACTTGGATTGTGGGTTGATTCCCAGCCCAATCAGCTTGTGGTTTTCACAGTCCCTGACATGCAATTTCCCCTCAGTCAACCTTCTCAAATCCCCCCTCATGTCTCTCTCACCATTTCTCTCCTTCATCTTAAACACAATAGAGTTTAGTGGCAAACATGAGCAGTGTTGCACAAAGATGTGAATTTTACTAAGGCACCCTTAGGTTTTCTTACACAACGGGAGTGGATTTTTATTAAATCAGATAAAACCATCTGTAAGAAACTCAACATGCGCACAAACCTGTCATTTCTGAATGGATAAAACAACTAGTTGGTTCATTTTCAAAGGAGAGACCATATATGTCCTCCTGTGGCGCATAAAGCCATTGCCTGACGTAAAGAAATGTCGCCTGACTCTGACATTCCTCAGGTCAGCTGGTAAGATTAGAGGACAGCTCACCCTTGCAAAGTGGTAAACTGATATCTGAGGTTTTGGCTGAACCCCAATGTCAAGGTGAGAGGTGGTTGCCCTTTGAATTATATCATATGTTTGCAGGGGGGCTCAGAGTCTATGTTATGCTCCCCCTGAGGATTTGGGGTCTATTACTGTTTAAGGTTTGTCATGTCTTTCCTTTGGTTCTTCTTTGGTCATGTGAGCTCATAACATCAGAGGTTTCCAAATATAACCCTCCACACAAAAGCCCCTGATTGGATGGATTTAAGCGCAAAGCTCACTTAAGTTATAATTTAGGTTCTACAAAGTTATGGCAATGTTTGATCAACACAATATAATGGGGTGGTGTATAAATACCATGCCACTTTTAAGGACATTTCACATGTCATGTTGATACATATTAAGCTTTTTGCGTGTCATTTAATGCCATTACAGATTTCACTTTTGGACATACAGGAAAGGACAAAGTCAGGACTGGCATCGTCATGGTAACAATATGGTGCAATGTGTGCAACTGTAACACTGTATTTCCCGTCGGGGATCAAAAGTATTTCTGATTCTGATAAACATGCGGTTAATGTTATGAAACAGTTGCAGCTTGGTTAGGTTTAGGCAACAAAACTACTTGGTTTGGGTTAAAACAAGTATGTTACATAAATCACAAGTCACATTAGTACTTAATGCTTAACTAATTATGTAATGTAAGTTAAGTAACGTAAAACTTTAAATAACTTAAAACTAAGGGTTAGAGATAAGTCAACATGGACTTCACACAGGACATGAACCACAGTCTCCTGGGTACAGTTCCTGTTTGTTTGACCCATCTCCCAAACACAGACTTTGTCACACATTATACTACATCACCTGACTTTGTTTTCTCTATGACGTTCATGTATCAAATGCCATCTATGTACTCACAAATCCAGAAACAGGAGGAAAAAAAAGGATTTTGGAAGTATTTTCAGAAGAGAAGCAAATGTTGTTAAACAACCTTCTGGGTTTTTCCAAAGATGGCCGGGTATTTATTTGAAGGAAATTCAGATGCTTAGCTCTGTCACTCGAGTGCAATGGTGAGAATACGGGACAAAGGTTAATGTAGATAAGGTTAATGTTGTTCAAGTATTACAGTATATATCTGTTAAAGCGCTGTCATCTCAATTGTGATGGATAAAGATAGCTCAACAGCTCCTTTTCCCTTAATCTCTTTGTCATACTCCCACCCCATTGTTGAAGCTCAGCCTCTTCTCTCCCACTCCAGCCCCTCCCTCCCCCCACCACCAACCCCTGTCTCCATGTCTCTCTGCTCTCTCCTCCCTCCTCCCTCCTCCCTCTTAAGTCAGCGAGGGGAAGTGGGGATATTGGAAAGTGAGATGGGAGAATGTTCAAACTGGAGCTTGTTTTCATTTCATGTTTAATTTCCTGACGCCTAAGCCCTTGGCTTTCCGCAGCTAACCCCGCTGACCTTTCGGAGGCGTGCAGACGAGAGCAGCGGACCAAGCATACACATACACCCACACAGGATGCACACAGAAACACATGCATTTACATACCATGTTATATACAAATTCAATAAAAAATTCATTCTTTTAACCTGGACGCTCTCACACACTCACTGCAACCTTTTTATAACCAATTTCTGAGCTCATATATGTCCCTTGTCTTAGTTTCTGGTTGTTGAGTGTGTTATGTTTCACAGAGGGTTTGCTCTACGTAGCTTTGCCTTTGAACGGCAGTAGGAATGAGACCCAAGCCAAATAGTTTGGTAGGGAGATCATTCGGGAACATTACGAAGTCAGATGTGTCCTTTGCTGTTCCGTGTCCCTTATTCCCCAACTTCTAAACTTTGTTAGAAAAGAAAGCCAGTGGGTGTTTTTACACAAGCAGAATTTCAATTAACACAAAGAATTTGTATTATTTTTTAGTTAGGTCTCATAATGATCAACAGTGACCCATCCTATATATGAAGCCCGAAAGGATGATATTTACAAACTGCAAACTCTTACTACTCTTACTACACTTACTACAGCAAACACTACTACTACCATTTTATCTAGCGGACATCTGCAAGGAAGGTGGTTCAGAGCTCTTGGAGCTCCAAGTGCTTGGCGGTGATACAGTAATTGCTAAAGACGTTGACAGCAAAAGGCAGCTTACAGAGCCATTAAAGAGCTTTATTTATGCTCCAGAGCCAGCAGGCACAGAGAGAGGAAGAGGGAGAGAGGGAGGGCAGAGTGCACAACTGCAAAAGCTGCTTTGAAGTCCAGCCGTCTCACCTCATCTCTGTCATCCAAGACCACGACGATTGATAGACTGCTTCAGAAGTCACTCACACACAGCCTCCTCCTCCAGAAAAAGTGGGCACAGTGGTGAAGTTCAAGTCTGAGGTTGAGAGCTAATTGTACTAAATAAACTAGTGGCAGCAGAAGTTACAGATGTGATTATGGAAAACTGCAGCCCGACTTTATGAAGACATTCATCATCAAACTGAAGATGAAACTGTAGGACCTTGACATTGGCGTTTTGGCAGAAAACATCTGTACTCTGGATTTCAATGGCTGTTGTTTCAGAGATGAAAAGGATTCTCCGATTGCTTGCCAAGCTTCGAGTGCCCCTTGGTATTCAACAATTGGATATCCCTGGACTTTGTCTTGATGGACCTTCAGTTGAAATTGTGGGGTTTAGTCTTGATTGCGTGCATATTTAGGGTCTGATTTTAGAAGTATGGGTCAAACCTCACAGTGACTCAACAGAGTCTGCTGTGTGCCTGTCAGATGAGGAAGTTAATTATATTCATCTGGGGAATAGATGGGTCTGTGTGAACGCAACATGAATGTACTTATTTTACTGTACCACCACAAGGACCAGGCCAGGTTCTCTGTCCCTGACTATGTCTTGGCCTGTGCGTGGAAATTGAAACTGGCATCTCAAAGTGTTTTTTATGTCCTTGCCAAATAGCTTTGATGACTTTTTTTTTTTTTCCTGTGTTTTCCCTCCCCGCCTCCACAATTGTGCGGTGAAGAAGTTGGAACATGGTAGTGCTGGGGAGAAAACCCTTGGCCTCTGACCTTTTTGCAGAGCCTGCAGCATGTAAGAGCTAATAGCAGAGTATTCCCTTAGTCCCACCCATCCACACTCTGATCTAAAACTGGCAGGCAGAAAAAGAGATGGAGAACAATAGGCCTTGCTGTCTGCTGTTCCGGACAATCTTTGTCAACATGCCAGTCTTAACTCTCCCAGCCCTCTCTGTTAGTTCCCTGAGTGATTATTAACATGCAAACATGGACGAATGCAGTCACACACAGCTGTCCTCCCAAGAAGGAATGACAGCATCCGTCATTAAGTGCCCTAAAACAACTTTGTTTGCGTTGTGTAGTTACAAAGCCCTCTAGTGGCTGTAGTAATTTGGCGGTGACAATGTCATAGAGTGACAAAGTCCAGCTAAGGAGGGAGTTGGTGGAGGGTGGGGGGTGGATTGTTTATTTTTCAACAGTGATTTGAAAGAGTTTTTGAATGCACAGACAAACAATATCATCCTGCCAATAGGGGCGTCAGATCAGAAAACATTTGTCATTGTAGAGGGCATAGACAAATGGTGTGTTATGTTGTGTAATTTGGAGGACTTGTTGGCTCATGTCTATGCAGAAAGGAGTTTTTCACATGTAACCTGGTGTTGTTCCCGCGCCCTCACCTGTACACGAGCCTCGGTCAAGTCTGTCCTCAGTGCCAGCTGCTCGCGGGCATAAACATCTGGGTAGTGTGTCTTCTGGAAAACCTTCTCCAGCTCCTCCAGCTGGTAGCTTGTGAATGTCGTGCGATTGCGTCTCTTCTTGCCTTTGTTGCTCTCAGCCTCACTTTTGTCCAGAGGGCTGGAAAGGTCCGAGCCCGGCCGCTCGCTCGGCCCTTTCTCGCCGGGCCCCTTTAAGTTCAGGTAGCTGCCTTCCATCCCTGCTGGGTCGACACTCGGGGGCAACTCAGACTCTGTCAGGCCACTGTTGTCTTTTCCTGTAAGTGTGAGATTCAGAAAGAGACAGAAAGAAGTGTGGAAAGTTACAATCAAATGTATCTTCAACAATATTACTCATGAAGTTCAGTTTACTTGTCAATTGTACTACTTGGTCAGTGAAAACAGTCCAAATTTATGGAATTACAGCACTAAATCTGATTGATGTACTACTCAGGAACCTCATAAAACATATTTATTTATTTAAAAAAAAATAAAGTTTAGATGTTACACTGTGGTTCTATTCAAATACATCTGAGCAATTTTGGTTTCTGTTGCAGTGTGCCGTTCTTACAATTTTCTTATGAAGCATGAAAAATCTGAAATCTAAGTTTACTTAAGTGTGGTTTTAGACACAATACAAATCATATTCTTACTGTAATAATATTATTTTCAAACAAAGTATTACAACCAACTTTCTGGCCATTTTAGACCAGAAAAAAGACAGCCACATGTTGTCAATAATAGTCCTATAATTATCGTTACTACTCTATAATTGGAACATTCAGCAGAGCAATACTTTCTTTAAAATGTAGCTAAATAAAACCATGGTGCCTCACATTCAAGTGAGTGTGTCTGCTCATCATCACATTATGACATCCACACAAAATTGCATTTACTTTAAGCTTACATCACCTCTGTAATGTTTTATTTTAAGGTTCAAAGGCCTTGTCTGTATGCAGCAAGTCTAAAAGTTGCAGAGAAGAAATGTTGTTCTCTGTTTGAAAGGTGTCACTACACATTGGCGTGACCTGTGACACAACCCTTGAAGCTCTCTCCCTCACATCTTTCAATCACGCCACCTGAAACTCAAGCCACGCAAAACCTGCTCCATTTCGATCCATGTATGTGGTGGGCCTTGTGTACAGGGGCGACCACCACATATGTAAACAACATTGTGTTTGTCACCTTCAATTTCGAGAGCTTCCATTTGTGACAGACCTCGCTCTATTCCTGTCAGCACTAGCTTTTTTGTTTCCTTTTAGGAGATGAAGAAAGCTGTCCATTCTCCTTCAATAAACAAACAGTCGTGTGAATAAATAAGCTGAAGGGCTCTGGTTGCGGGCCAGTGAGAACAGCGCGCTCTGTCAGCCTCTCTGTTTGCCTTTCATGCGAATGGGCACCAGGTTCGCCCTGTACTAACTGTATTGGTCCAAAACCAGCGCATAATGGTCTCCTCCACATAAACAGACTTGTGATTCTTGTGCAACACTAGCATTACTTTAGTCCGAGAACATTTGTCTTTAAGGTAGATCAAGTTTAGGATGATTAACTTGATAGTTATGTGTGTGCATTTTACTTAGTCACTTTGCATTCTTTTTGAGTAATGTCAGTAATGGCTTCCTGTCACTCTCAGGAACCCAGTGCCCTGAGGGAAAGAGAGTTGACACCTTGTGGCACTGGTGACTCTCTGAGCCAAGTGTTTTAGTGGTTAGTGAGATGACTGAATAGTTTTAGATTGATGAAGCTAGGCGGTGGCTGTCTGCAACATGCATGTTTGTTTTCATGGATTAGTATGCCTTTGGCTAGTGTGTCCCACAATGAGATGTCAATAGTCATCCTCTCGATACTGCAGCAGCCCTCCCCCTCTCTCTGGCTCAGACTTGCCCCGACCGAGACACTAATGGAACAACACAGCTCACCCAGCTGGAGTTCATGACCTCATATCACTGTGGCCCACCTGTCAGACCCTCTTATAGTCTCCACGCAGGCAGATGTTCTGACATCACCAATCCCTGTGCTGGCCTCTTATGCTAAACACCGTGCAATATTTTCATTCTGCCCCTGGGCAGGAGCATGGCTGCAATGTGAAAAAGTAAGGTCAACTCAACGGTTCTGCTTGGCATTTGCATCTGTGAAGAATAATGCATTTATGCCCCTGAGCAAGGGATATATCCTGTAAGACAAAGAGTACAGCTGGGCGCATAGATGAGGGAATGGTTGATGTTTGGATAGTGGTTGAATGAAGTTCTCAGATCTACAAAGTTACCCTGAAATCTACACTAATTAGAATGTTTCTACCTTAAAGGAATAGTATGACATTTTGGGAAATACACTTATTTGCTTTCTTACCAAGAGTGTCTGAACGGTAAATATGAAGCTACATTGAGCAGCGGTGTACCTTAGCATAAAGACTGGTAAAAAGGGGGAAACTGCTAGGCTGGTTCACTCCAATGGTAAGAAAATCCACCTACCAGCCCCTCTAAAGCTCACAAATTAATGGTGTTTCACTTTTTAAAATCTGTAAAAAAAAGTTTTAGACATAACTCCCCATAAAAAGATTCGATTTTTACACGTCTGTTTTTGTACAGATTAAACAAACAAGACACAATGTGTTAATTAGTAAGCTTTAGAGGTGCTGGATGGTGGATTTTTGTTACCTTTGGACAGAGCTAGGCAAGCTAACTGCCTAGTGCCGGTAGCTTAAAATTTATTACGTAAAGAGAAATAGCTAGAAAATGAATAAGTGAATATCCCAAAAATATTGAACTATCCCAGAATTAAACAGACTTAAATCACTACCATTTACACCATAATATGCTCTAATGAACATCTTTCTCTGTGTAGTACTCCAAAGTATCTCTGTCACGCTAACCACACATAATCCTTTGCCACAAACATCTTCCAGTATTCCCGCATGCTGAGCTGTCTTTTCTGCACGCTGTTCTGGAGAACACAGCCATCAGACACTGCTTTCTTTTGGGAGCCAAGATTCCACTGCGTTGGCTCCAGATTTTTTTGGCATTCGAAGGAATGTGTTTTTGACTGTTGTTCTCATTTCATTATTCATCAACGTATATATAAATGCACCAAATATCACCGGCTGATCCTGCAATTTGCCAAAGTAACTCTGTGACAAGCTGCAGACCTCTTCAGTTAGCTGGGGTCAGATGTTTACTAGGGTCAGCAATTTAATCACTGCTGAAAACAGAGAGAAAACATCAAAGTGTAATTTAACTGCTTGTAAAGCAACAGGGCACCCTCTCCGTTTTTATGGAATGGGACGGGAGGGTCAAGTGAAGCCAAATAAAAGAAACACTATAAATTAGTAACCTGGGGAAGGGTTAATGACCAAACACTAAATAGGGAAGGGAATGCTTTTAAACAGAGTGTTTTAAAATGTTCTCTCAAAACACTCAAAGATGGCAGCAGTATGCCACAATGGCTCTCCACTTATCACACCTTATATTTACCAAATAAAGTCAAATATTCCATTGGCTTTGCTGACTATTCATTTTATATTTATTGCTGGTTTGCAGACATGCTTTGGGCTAGATCATTTTTTCCTGCAGCACAGTCCTAAGACCTGATGTTGACTATTGTTTCCTCAGTAGAAGGGAGGCTCCCAGATGTTCCTGAGGAGAGATCCATGCCAGTGGCTCACGCAGGAATGCAGATTCCCTGGGAAACCAAAAAATCTTTCTGTTCAGCCTCAGCTTCTGATAAATTGACACAATCATGACCTCACTACTGTCATAATACCTTTGGGCTGTGGCTGTCACTGTCTCATATCAAAGCGCACAAAAATAGTTTGGAATTTATGGGGTTTTTAGGGGGGGATGTAGTTAATAGTGGAGGAAGTACACAAAGTTTGTCCTCAAGTGAAAAACGTGTAGAAGATGTTGATTTAAAAAAAGTATTTTGGTAAAACCTTCATTTTAAAAGGAGAGTATTGGCAGTGAAATGTGTGTTGGAAAATAAAAGTGCATATTCAACCTAATGTTGTCTGTTCAGTCATAGCAATAACCCCTCATGGTCAAGCTGAATAAAATTTGTTAATCTTTTTAACGGTATGGGTTTGGTGATGAACATGAAGTAAAAAGAGAAGCATCAAAAGATAAGGAATTGAAATTAAATGTGATTATAAATGATCTAATCAATCATCTGTTAGCCTTTCCCTGTCTTCATGTAGTCCAGACTTCTTTCCACGATCACATTTTACTGTCTAGATCATATTGGAGTCAAATTTTAATGAAGCATTTTTGCCTCATTGCAATCATAGAGAAGCATAAAAAAAGTTTGTGGTGCATGCAATTTCACTCAATGATGATTTGGATTACTTTCCAGACTTTTATTAAAAAGATATATCAAACAAGCAAAATGAGCTGTGTCTCTGTGCTGAAAGCAAGCTGAAAAAGAACTATTGTTAAGAATGGATCTAAAACTGATCATCATACTTCTGCTTTGCTCAGTAGTTTCCATCATTAGCCTGTCACTGTTGGCTTTCTTGAGTCAACATTTTGTGGCTTGTCAGGCAATACGCTTAAATCCCTTTTCTGACCATGCCGTGTGGCCAAATTGTTGCATTACTCAATAAGCTCATAGTCCATTGATAAGAATCAAGGAAGCCGAGGGAAAGACACAGCGCCAGCCTCAACATGAAAGGCACAGATCAAAATGTGGGCCAGCTGGTTGAAGTTTCCAAATCACTTCTTTAATCTGGCCTGCATGCAGATCTCAGGTAGGCAGTGGGAAGTTACCTTCCCCTGCAAGAGAGGCAGCTGTAAGCAAGAGCCAAAGCCTGCTGTGTTAGCTGCACAACAGCATGAGACAGTGTAAGGTTTTTTTTTTTATCAAACTTTGAAAAATAACACCTCATGAAACACTCTGCTGTCAGATTTGAACGTCTAATGGTTATTTTCATTCAGTGGCAAGCAGATAGCTACTGTTTTACCTCCGGAGTAACACATTTATAGAAGCCGCTACATTTAAACAAGTCAGAAATTCATCCTTTCAAGTTTTCTCATTATATATTCTAATTTATTCTGGTTCACAGACTCATGCCGGCACGATCACAGGTGTCATTCTGACATTTGCTTTTTGTTAACATCACCACAATGTGTTATTCATCAGCACATGCATATCCTGTGACATCACTTCCCCGAGCCTTTTAACATGTATTTAGTGGGCTATATTTTGACAGGATGCTTTTAAAACGCTGCCAGGACTTTTTTGGGGTCTTGTTTTGGTTTTCATATGCTGAGAAAAATGTTTTACATATCACAGGATGCTACGATATCCCGCTGAAGGAGGGAGGGGTTGTTTGAAAGTACAAGGACTGACAGAGCTGTATGTTATAAATTTATAATTTGCTTTAAACTGTGACAAGTAAAGACAATGAGGCACAAACAGCCTTTAGTGGGAAACAGTGTACACAATGCAAAGCAGAACTCAGCCTCATTATCAACCACAGGCCTATAAACACAATGATTTCTACTTTTCAGATTTAGCCTTGGCTCCACTTACGTTCTTCTTAAATTTATAAAGAAAGTGTGATAATATTTTCATCCTAAGTTTATGTTTAAAAAATTTTGTGGTCTCCCTATTACAGCAATGAATATGGATCTAGGATGAACAGAAAATGAATTAAAACCATGCAGAAAAAAAAACATAAATGCAATGCATTTCAGAGCCAGAGTTCAGTAAGGTACGTGCACGTAAACATTCATTCACACACATGTGGGTCTTCCCAGAAACCCTCTTTACTCCCCGAGTCCCTCAAATCATTACCCAGTCTCGATGTCCGTTTCTGACTCATTGCTTATTTGTACAAGGTATTGTTGAGACAGGGTTATGTAAACCAGTCCCACTTTGTCATCTCAGGGATTCTCTGTAGCTTTGGAGATCTGATGTTTGGGGAGTATGAATAATAACTATAGGAGCCAGTAATGTACATCTGCTTTAGGTTAATGCATCCCTCTCCTGCAGTGCTGACCTGCATTCCTCAGCACTCGATCAGCTCAGGGGTTTTTATTTCATTCATCGCCATGTGAGCAGGTAGACGGCTCCATCCCTGATCTGTCTGTCTCACTGATTTAAGGTGTACTCAAGGAAAGAAACCCACCAACCTAAGCAGAAATATATTCATTCTCTCTTCCAGAGATGATATTGTATTTTTAATGAGCATCATTTCAAAATCTGGTTGGGACTAAGTATGTTTTTTATCCGCACAATACAACATAAATCTTGCAAAACACTATCCTTTGACTTTGGAAATTTAACCGCAAATACAAGATTATCTACAAATGAATTTTAGAATTGCTTTCAAGCTCTTAAATTGTATAATCTTTGATACTACTGAATCATACGTAGTGGCACTGGAATAAAGTGATTTTAAAGAAATAGGTGTGAATATCATGCAGCATGGCAAAAAAATATTTCCCATTATTTTTTTAACAGGATTACCACAGTGAATTCACATCTTTGCCATTGCTTCTTTTATCTTTGTGTGTTATTAAATGTAAATATGAACATATTAGCAATTTTGTATATATCAACACAGTGTTGGCGTAACTGATGAAACATTTCTTTTCTGTTATCACATTGGTTTTGTAAATAACATCCTGAAAGTGAGGGATACAAATGTTGGGTTGCATGTAAACAGTATCACAGTTGTAGCTGAAGTTGCCACACAGCAAACTCCCCTTGGGTGCTTTTGTCATCATGATGGAGATAAAGCATCAGCATTGAGCAATGTATCTCCCATTGAGGACCACACATAAGAGCACAAGCCTGTTGACGCCTGAGGCTTTGGCAAGACCCCAGTGTATCCTCCCCAGAGCCAGGATGCCTTCATCTGGCTGCAACATTTTCAATAATAACATTGCAGAGCTCTCCTCAAGGGAGGCATATTGCACTTAATGATGGTGTTTAAATGGGTCTTGTCAATGCACTTGCCAGATCAATTCACTTCAGTACCAGTGTGCTTGAATCTGTTTGGAGACTGTGCTCTCAAACTCCAGAAAAAGTGACATTTCTGCTTAAAATAAAGAGTGACTCCAGTTGTTTCTCAGGAAAACCTATTACTTTGCACTTTACTGATGTATTTTTGGCAAAGAGTGGTACTGGCTACTGCGCAAAACAGTTTGTTATAGTGCAGGCCACTTTGTCATTGGTCCCACTGAGAAGAATTAGGGCAGTTCAGTTTTATTTATGCTTTCATCTAACACAGGATCATGCATTTACTGTATTTAAATATGGTTTCCAGTGTTTCCTCTCTTTTTTTCCTGAACTGCTTTCTTGTCAGTGACTGAATCTATTTTCCAGCGCGAATTGCCGATTAAAGTGTAGGCCTATATTTAAATGTTGGGGTTATTGTATATGTTTCGATCAACATCAAATTTCAGCCATGATCATAACAGATGTTTTCCTCTGTAACATCGGCAACATGATAAACATCTGGACCTGAAATATATAGGCGCCGACGAGTCTATAGGCTGATAACTCACCAAAGTATTATTTTTAATGCGTTTAGCCTATAATATATTATGCAAAATATATGTAGGCTTCCTGGTATTAAGTTTTTTTCGGCTTTCGGCCCTTTGTTTTGGACCTGTTGTTATAGGCCTAGTCCATTTCATCTGCTCAATAAGAGGGTTTTCTTTTTTTTATATATAAAACCCCCACCTCTCATAAAAGAGGATTGTTTTCTTTAAACGGTTAATAGCACAGCGAATTGTCGAAAGACTCTGTAAAGCTGTAAAGCTTTCGTTTTAAATGAGTGCTATTTGTCAGGACGTCCAAGCAATCTCTAAATATTTAAATTTGTCATTGACTGTTGTATAATGAGTCTTGGCCTATAACTGGAGGCCAAGACATTTATTTTCCATATTGTGGAAAGTAGTGGTTGTCATCATTTATTTATCAGTAAAGAATATAAAAGAATAAAGAATTATAAAAATTGCAAGAAACGCTGTGAACCACGTGTTAGAAATAGTAGGCTATTTGAAAATGTACTTTCATAATTTTTACCACATAGCCCGTGGATTTCCCGTTTGTGCGTGTGTTCGCGCGTGCCCTGGTGACTTAGTTCACATTTAAATATTTAAATACTTCATGACATGCTTATATATGTAAGTGATGAAGAGAATATTAGGCCTACTGTATGTAGACGTGAACCGACTGCAGTCGTTGGACAGTGAGATCAGTGACGGCTTCATCAGCAATTATATAATGCTTTTAGTGATGTGGTAGAGATGGAAAACCTCGAATCGCAAGGTCAATATCAACAAAAGGGCAAACGTCCACTAAAAAAAGTTTTAAATTACTTCTTCATCTCTCAGTCCAAGCGCACACACCTTTATAAAGGAAATAATTCGCTATCATGTTATGGCTTCAATTATAGCTCAGCTTGCAAGTATATATTTAATATTCATTACAGCCTTGAATTTCGTCAATTAATGATCAAATTTAGTAGCCTACTACTTATAGTTAATTTTAATCCATGCATTTTTTTTCCTGAATTTCTAAAGGTGTTGAGGAAGGCTATGGAATATTGTGCTGCCTATAACACACTAAAAGTTAAATTTTTAGATTTGTTTTTTTCGTCGTAGCTCACAGTTGCCTACTTCAGTTTGATAGAAATTCACATTGTTTCATTAAATATGAATTTCTGTTCAAAAACAGTTCAGTTCACTTAAAAAATGGATATCTGATGGGAGTCCTGCTGGGTTTACTCTCTCCTCCTCTCCGCTCTTGACTCGCAGATTACTGACTTTCAGATGCTGTATTACACACCACAGTGAATTCCTATTATTGCTCGCAAATGTCCCGTCTTGTAATGCATTTCCGTTAAACTCGATACATAAATTGCCTCATATAGCCTACTTACACTGTGTACCCCGCTCATGTGCACTCACCATAGCAGGGAATGAGCGTCCCGTTGAGTCCGCTGTCTGGGTGCAGCTTGCTGCTTTCGGGTGGAGTTTTGCAGGTTGGTCGCTGCATGAAGAGCTGATATTTGTTGAAGGAGCCCTCCTCGGCGCCATCCAATGACTGGCACTCCGGCTGGAAAGGACTTCGGGACTTCTCTCCGTAAGCCTGCCCTTTACCCGGAATGAACGTTGGGCTGTATTTGGTTTCAGTGGTCGGGAAAGTCCTGAACTGGTTCGCCTGGTGATCCCTACCTTGCGCAGTAGACGTGCTATAATATGAATCCATCGATGTCATATCGCAGTATGAGACGCACGCTGCGTTCATACCTAAAAAGTTATATTAAAAAAATCCACACGGTTCACTCTCCCTCCCCTTCTCTACAGACAGCAGATATTCTCCTCAAATTCTCATGCACTGACAAACTCACACTGACGCGCTCGTGCAAACACACACTCACACTGCCGCATCTGGGACTGGTTAAAAAATGAATCAGATGTTTTCCAGAGACTGCAGACTGAACAAATGCTAAAAGCCCCCTGAAGGTTTGCCGGGGTAAAGAGAAATGCCTTGCTCTGACTGATGCCGCCTCAGTAGCCTACAGTGCATCGGACACACACACACACACACACACACGCAGATGCACACACACGCAACACTCCCAGGCTCCACACATCTAAAGTAGGCCCACACCGAGCTCCAGCCTGCGCTGTTATGCAGCCAGTAGAAATGGGAGGTCAAGCTCAGAAGGGGGGGGAAGCTTTTTTTTGGTAAACACGCGGGAGACACAACACATGACATTAATGTAATTAGAGGATGAATGTAACAGTTCATGTCTGAGCACCTTAACCTCTGACATTTTATATCAAACTGTAAAGCATTAGAAAGCGTTGTTTCCATCCTTGTCGGGGGAGCCACATTTGTTTATAAATGGGGAATGTGGGAAATCAAATTTGTGCTTTCTTTGACTCATAAATAGAGAAAGAGGACCTTTAAAATGAAGCGTAAATGAAAGGATCAAGCCGGGAATTTAGACTAATAATAGTGCCTGCAGTCAACCGATGTTAAGCTTAAATATAGGTAAATATTTCATTTAGAGAACTATATTAAACAAAACAACATTAACGTTTGACAGAGTCCGTCAGTGCGGATATATCCACTTAATGATGAGGAGTTAGAGCCCATCGTTGGTAACAACTTTCGGCCTTGCAATTTGAAAATTGGCTACTTCTTAATATTAAATTAATTATAAACCATTAAGCCTGTGACGCTCTTTGAAACACTTGGCTTCGTGCGCTTTAGGACAATTTGGTAAAACGACGCAGCGCCAGCAATTTGCCCTTTGTTGGCGTTAAGGGAACAAGATATGATTATGCCTGTCGGTAGTTGTCTCTTGACGCTATTATCAAGATTTGTAGGTAATGGTAACATCAATTTGAATAAATGAGGAAAATATATCATACAAATTTGACAAAACAAAAAGATTCTGATTATTATACAGCGCAATATTTTAGAGGCTAGTTAGATGTAATTGATTGAATTACTATATATAATTATAATAATAATTATTATTATTATAGTTCTAAGTTGCCTTGTCTGAATTTTATTTTAAGGGCATGACACGAAATCTTTCCATTGCTTGAGCTGCGGCTGTCAGGCCTGAATGCAGATTAATTCAGTATGAACACTGAAATTCAATCCGCACTTCTCTCTCTCTCTGTCTCTCTCTCTCTCTCTGTCTCTGTCTCTCTCTTTCTCTTTCTCTTTCATTTTCCGGCACAATTAACGCGTTAATTATGACTGGGGACATAACTCGTGTTCAGTCGCTGTTAGGCAACATGATGTCGGCCACATCTGCAGTCCTGCTCATCCAGCAGGACGATTACATTTCTTTAAAAATAAAAGATAAAAATGATGCTAACTGTAAAAATCACAAAATCTGTTTTAAGCTGCTTGCTTTCTACCCCTCACTCTTCTAACCTAATGTCGTTCCCAACAGCAATAGTCTTTTAGCATCTATGAAGTTTCTTGCTGAAAGGGGGGGTCAGGTTTAAAAATTTGAAAATGAAATTGCTCACTATTAAAAATACCACTTTACTGGTTTGGGCCCAGTGCACGTGCAGTCTCTTTGGTGTAGTCTTGCTCACCACCGGCACCTCTCTTGCTGTTCAGGTATTCCTTAACGAGACTTTTGGCCATATTCTTTAGTAAATGTCTACTGTTAATAGCTATTTCCTATACAACGTAATGAGTTTAACTTTGGCTGCACAGCCCACCTTTATTTTCACGTTGTGGCTTTTCATATGAGGAGAAGTTAAACCTATTTTCATTCCTATTTTTATTCCTATTCCTATAAAAAAAAAATTCGAGCTCAGTGCTGCAGTTTGTTTCAATCGATTTTATGTGTTGTGTGGAAAGGGGAGTTCAGATCACATTAATCAAAGAAAGCTTTTTTTACTTTGACCGTTTGATTAGCATTTATTGGCATATCAATATCATTATCAATGTTTGATTGACACAAACAAGCAGATAAGAGAAACATGTCAGCATTGTAACTTTCTGTCCCATTCTCTTGATCCCCACATTTTTTTTTTTAATCAAGGTCTCTTTTATTTTCAGATATAACAAACAAAGGGAATACAATTCACACATAAGATAGTCAAATCTAGTTCCTGTCCAATGATCCCCACATTTTACACTGTTTTCAATGGAATTTAGTTAAACATTTCTATTTGTTTGCTAAAACAGCAAATTGATGTTGTCTTTGACTTATAACTATCCTCTCTTAGTGTTGTTTTTTTTCAGCATTCAAATGAAAACAGATTTCATAATTTTATCAAACATTTAGTGGAAAAATTATAAAATTTATTTGCACTTCATTTTTGCTGTTACTTTGAAGGCTTCATGTTGGCTTGTAAAAAAAAAAAAAAGAGAGAAAAATGTCCCACATGTATGTACATACACATTTGCACATGCCTGAGTTTTGTCTGCTTGAGAGAACATTTGCCTTCAAATATAAAAAATACAAGGGAGACCATGAATCTGAAGATATATTTCTCTCTCTTTCCACCTTTTGTTTCCTTTGCACAGTTCCTGCAAGCCGATACAAACATTTTAGAGCAGTGTCACGGTAAAGAACCTAGAAATTACAAGTGAAAGGTCGTCACACAGCTAAACAATCGCAAATGACAGACATCTACATTGAGTGCAGGGTATATACAGGCCTCCCTTAATATAAACCACTCCACTGCTACAGGCTAAAGTCTAAGCTGTCACAGATATACATCACTCATGCGTGGCATTCTCTCTAAAAGGTTTCAACCAAATGGGCGACTTGTCTGTTTAACTTTCAGCAGGGACCGTGTCCAGGTATTCACTGCTGAAGCAGTGGGCTCTCCACTGATGCAGCAGCTCAGAGCCTCTGGGGTTTATGTTGGCACAGGCCACCTGTGTATCAGCAGCAGAGTCCCTGAAATCAGTTTCTTGTATGAGAGGCATGGCGGTGAGTGTAATGGTCTGGAGAAAGTGCTTTAGGTTGGACTTGCCACCAATGCCATGTTCAGTTTGGCTGTGGGAAAGGCCAGGCATGGGAGATGAGAAATACATAGCCTATATGTTGTTGTTATGTTTAATGGGAATCTGTTTTTAATGTATACAGATATGTTGAAATAGCATTTTTGTAGAAAAAAAACACAGCACATGCATGGAAACTTTCTAGAACAACGATCAAAGTCTGTTGGAGAAGGAGCAACAACAAAGTTAATTGAACCTGTTTCCTGTGATACCTAGTTTGCACATAGAAGGGAATTTTTAGTAATTAGAGGAATGTTGGGAATTTAGCCAAGCCTACTCTGTCACATCATGACTGCAGATCAGCTCTAGCTCTGTCATTTGTCCCAAAGTCTATTTTGGGGTGATGTTCCTCTGTGCGTTGTCTCCTCTATGCATGGCTGCGGTATTCCATGTTGTGGCGGTCTACTTTCCCTTTATTCGCTCTGTCTCTCTCATGTGGCTGCAGGTTATGTTAAAGGAGAGTTTTCAAGTCTGTCTTAAACTCACATGCCCATTGTGTACACTGAAACTGTTTTTGCACTCTGTATTTATTCCTGCTCTCTAAACTGGTTGTGTTGAGAGTTGATTGCCTGTTCAGACAGATAACCCCCCTGTGTTAAAAAAAATAGTACATTAGTGAGACAAAAGAGTATGATCAGGAAAGGCACAGGTTTAGTACATCTATGAGTTTGAAGGCCAAAAAACCGCACAGTGGTTTACATTATGAAACTGTTTACTCTGTATAGTTATACCAATGACAGTCATGTTATCTTTTGTGGCAACTATCGTGAGGTAAACGGTAGAACAATACAATGTTCACGTTACAAAAGAATCCACCAGAATTGTGCACTTGCACGTATTTGATTGGTCTACACAAGGCCTTGCCGGATGATGCTGAATTGCTTTGCCGCAAAAGTTGGGTATGGTTTAACTTTTTTGCCAGAAGACTCTGCGTTGTCATCCCTGCTGAGGTAATTCAGAAGTCCCATTCAAATAAATGAGGGGGCCTACATTTTTTCATACAGTTGGTTTGTCAAGGTGATCAACTGGTCAAGAACATGGGTTTAAACAGATTGACAGTGTCTGTCTAAACACTATGACGGCATATTAGGGCCATCTTAAGTAAAACAAAAAGAAAAAAGGAAAACTATGGAGCCAGGGGAGGGGGGTAATATTTCGATAAATTTAAAGTCATAAATTTACAACAAAAAAAGTCATAAATTAACAAGAAAAAATCTTGAATAGTCTGAGATTATAAAGAAGAAAACACATTTTTCGAATTTGCTTTTGTTATTAAAAGTAGGGTATGCAGATGTTGATAGTGTGATGTGCAATATTCTCTGTCCCAGTACTGCAATTTTTAAGGATTTTTAATCCATTCCACCTTTATTAGTTATTCTTACTATTTATCATTACACTTGTGTCATATACTGTAAAATAATGTACATTTTTCCATACTCCTATTTATGTTATATTTATGTTTATTTGGGTTAGGGTTGTGTATTTTCTTTATATTTTCTGCTTACCAACTGTCTATTATTATTTCTATTCCTTTAATGTCTTGAAGTGAGCAACTGTAACACAAGAAGTTCCCCTCAGGGATCAATAGAGTATTTCTGATTCTGATAACAACAGCTGTCACGTCTAAGTTACTTTCACCTACCAGTATTATGAGATACCCTTCTTCAAAGACCAAAAGGCAAAAATAAATTAGGGAAGAACGGCAGACATTTATGAATAACTAAAAGTGACTTTGCTGCAGTCCCTAATAACTGTCTAACTGTCTGAAAGCTCTACCTCTTATGTCTGAACTACCTCTTAACTTAGAAATCAAAATTTTTTCTGAGTTCTTTCTCATAATTTTACCACTTTAATCTTGGAAATTCTGAGTATCTTCTCAGAATATTACCCCCCTTCCCCCACTCCGTAAATAAAAACAAAACATCTACAATGGGCCGAATACGATGTCGAGATGTGGGACAAAATCTATAGTCCTTGTTCTGTGCAAAAATGTATTCTGAAGCTAGTATGAGGATTCTGCAGTCTGTTTTTGTAAAATCAACCAGGCATCTTCCAAAGTTACAGTCTTCTTAAT